TGGATTACACCTTAACATAAAGAAGACAAAAATCCTCACAATTGGACCAATAAGCAGCATCATGATAAATGGAGAAAAGATTGAAGTTGTCAAGGATTTCATTTTACTTGGATCCACAATCAATGCCCATGGAAGCAGCAGCCAGGAAGTCAAAAGGTGCATTGCACTGGGAAAATCTGCTGCAAAAGACCTCTTTAAAAGTATTAAAAAGCAAAGATGGCACTTTGAAGACTAAGGTGCGCCTGACCCAAGCCATAGTATTTTCAGTCGCCTCATATGCATGTGAAAGCTGGACAATGAATAAGGACAAAGGAAGAAGAATTGATGCATTTGAATTTTGATGCTGGTGAAGAATACTGAACATACCATGGATTGCCAAAAGAACAAACAAATCTGTCTTAGAAAATGTACAGCCAGAATGCTCCTTAGAAGTTAGGATGGTAAGACTTCGTCTCACATACTTTGGACATGTTTTCAAGAGGGACCAGTCCCTGGAGAAGGACATCATGCTGTTAAAGTACAGGGTCAGTGAAAAAGAGGAGACCCTCAACAAGATTGATTGACACAATGGCTGCAATAATGGGCTCAAATGTAGCAACAGCTATGAAGGTGGTGCAGGACTGGGAAGTGTTTCATTCTGTTGTACATGGGGTCGTTATGAATGGGAACTACTTGATGGCACTGTCATTGATTGAATTATGTCCCCCCAAAAATGTGTGTATCAATTTGGCTGGGCCATGATTCCCCATACTGTGTGATTTTCCTGTATGTTGTAAATCCTGGTTCTATGATGTTAATGAGGGAGGAGGGGCGGCAGTTGTGTTAGTGAGGCAGGACTCAATCTACAAGACTGGATTGTGTCTTGAGGTGATCTCTTGAGATATAAAAGAGAGAAGCAAGCAGAGAGACAGGGGACCTCATACCACCAAGAAAGCAGTGCTGGGAGCAGAGTGCATCCTTTGGACCCGGGGTCCCTGCGTGGAGAAGCTCTTCCAGGGGAAGATTGATGAGAAGGAGAAGGACCTTCCTCCAGAGGCAACAGAGAGAGAAAGCCTTCCCCTGGAGCTGACACCCTGAATTTGAACTTTTAGCCTACTTTACTGTGAGGAAATAAACTTCTTTTTTGTTAAAGCCATCCACCTGTGGTATTTCTGTTACAGCAGCACTAGATGACTAAGAGAGGCACCTTAACAACCACAGTGGTCTTCAGTTTCCTTTAATGTCTTTGTCTGGTGTTAGTATCACAATAATGCTGTTCATAAAATGAGTTCGGAAACGTTCCCTCCTTTTCTATTTTCTGGAGGAATTCTGTATGATTGCTGTTATTACTTCTATAAATTTTTGGTAGAATTCGCCAATGAAACCATCTAGGCCTGGAGATTTTTTTGGAAAGTTAACTACAAATTCATTTTGTTCAATAGTTACAGGATTGTTCAGGTTATCTTTCATCTTAAGGGAGTCAGTTTGCCTTTCAATTTTGCTTATAATACTTTTTGACAAGTACAAGTCTTAGATCTCTATGTAATTAAATCTTTTGATCTTCTTTTATGGTATGTCTTTGTGTGTGTTTAGAGTCTTTCCCCCCAATTTAGTACTTTTTATTCCAGTACTATACTTTCTTCTGGTTAATTTATGTTTTCAGTTTTGATGTATAAAATTTTAATCCATCTGGAATTTAATTTAGTGAATGATATGAGGTGAAGATCTGTATTTTTTTTTAATTAAAAAATTAGTATAGAAGAAAAGACTAAAGTGGACTTGGGATTTCCCAACTCTATGTGCATAACTTTTTCTCACTAAAAAAACAGATGTTATATATTCACAAATAAATTAAGTTTTTCAGAACTACAAAAACTATTAAAAAAATAACAAACTCAAAATATATAGATATATATGCAGTATATATACTGTGAGTATACACAACAAAATTTCAGAAAGGAGAAGGATATTTAGCTGGAAAATAGAATCAGGAAATCTCCAACGAAAATTTATGCTATATAATGTTGTTGTTGTTAGGTGTCGTCAAGTCAGTTCCGACTCACAGCGACACTATGCACCACAGAATGAAACACTGCCCAGTCCTGCGCCATGCCCACAATCGCTGCTGTATCTGAGCCCATTGTTGCAGCCACTGTGTCAGTCCATCTCATTGAGGGTCTTCCTCTTTTTCGCTGACCCTGTACTTTAACAAGCATGCTATATAATGCATGTCTATTAATGAAAAAAATTAAAATATGAAAATAACTTCTGCAAACTGAAAACATATTTACATAATGACATGAGGACATATAAGAGTGGAAAAAAGTAGGATGTGAAACCTACAATACCCCCCACACACACATATTCATATATGTCGAGAAAAAATTGTACACCAAAATGGATTACTTTTATAAGCAGAGAAACGTTTAAAAAAATGTTTAAATTACATTCTTTACAAATCCCAAGTTTCTCCTGACTGGCCACTGAATCCACAGGCCACTAATTTGATCAGGCCCCTGAATGTGGGCACTGTCCTTCCTCACTGGTCCATCCATCTCTCCCAAAGACACCCACTTTCCAAAAGGATGACTGTCTTAGTCATCTAGTGCTGCTGTAACAGAAATACCCCAAGTGGATGGCTTTAATAAAGAGATATGTATTTCCTTGCAGTCTAGTAGACTAGAAATCCAAATTCAGGGCATCAGCTCCAGAGGAAGGCTTTCTCTCTCTGTCGGCCTTCTCATCAATCTTCCCCCTGACTAGGAGCTTCTCCGAGCAGGCATCCTGGTTCCAAAGGACACACTCTGCTCCTGGCACTGCCTTCTTGGCGGTAAGAGGTCCCCAATTCTCTGCTAGCTTCCCTTTCCTTTTATCTCTTATAAGATAAAAGGTGGTGCCAGCCACACCCCAGGGAAACTCCCTTTACATTGGATCAGGGATGTGACCTTAGTAAGGGTGTTACAATCCCAACCTAATCCTCTTTAACATAAAATTACCATCACAAAATGGAGGACAACCACACAATACTGGGAATCATGGCCCAGCCAAACTGAAAAACAGATTTTTGGGGGGACATAATTCAATCCATTACAATGATTTTGCCAGACAAAGGACTACTTGCTGAAGGATAAATTAATCATGCAGCTTTCCTCTATAACCCCTAATACGTCACTTTTCAATATAGGTCAAGAAAATTCCAGCTGTTACAAACAACCTCTCCTGTTAGCCAGAGAAAAAGAGTCAACATGTAAAGAGGTTGAGAGTGAAGGAGGAGGATAGTAGGAGCCAATGCTTTTCTCTCTTATCATTGGATTTCCTCATCAACCAACCATCACAGGTCACATTCATAGTGTGTATGATCTCTATTCTTTATGCAGGTGAATTATGCTGAGATTCTATGGGAATAAAGGAAATAGAAATTAGATCATCATATTGGTTTTGATATTCCAACTAATTTGGGGAGTTTATCATCAAGGCCAAGTTCATGCACAGCTGATTTTGTACAAAACAGTGTCCGGCATAATGTCTCCATCACAACATGAGTAATGAATTACAATCTGTTCATGCTTACAGACAGACCATTTGCCAATGTGCTTACTTCCTGTGACTGGGAAATTATGATAACTGCAAGACCACCTCTGCTACCTACCCCTGTGCTGGGCCTCTCCAGACATGGCATACGCTTTGGCTAGTAATGCGCTTGCCTCCGCGGTTCTCGGGCTGACTTCAGTGAAAACAGACACACAGATAGAATAGGCCTGGAATAAAGAAAATCATTACAAAATAAGGGTCCAAATGGCAGTGTTTCACTGTGGATTTTCTAGTGACTCTGATAGAATTGTCAGTTGATTAAGAGCCAATATATAGCTAATCCCAGAGTTAGATGACAGATGTGTTTGAGTCTCCCTAAGTAGGGAATCACTGCCTTGGTGGGGCATTTCCTGACATTTCTCCTAAATGTGATGTTAACAGTGTTGGATTGTAAGATTGTCTGTATGTCCTTCTTCAGGCTCATACTGTTTTCACATACGCTGTTGGATTGCAGTGCCCCTTTTCTATGGTACAGGAAATCTAGTACTTGCATCCTGTCTTAGTTGTAGATGATACTTGATTGAAGCCACAAGCAGGGTTCTCATTTGGAAGAGAGAAAAGGTGAGTTTAGCAGTTCAAGGGCAGTTTCAAGTACATGATACATAAATGTGCCCTAAACGGTTTTCATATGATAGCCTCAACATTCCTTTCTATGTTTTGTTTTCCTCTGGGCATTTGTCAATTTAGCTACCTCCAAGTGAAACACCCTTTTGTTATTTTAACCTTAGACTTGGAAATACAACCAGGTAGACTAGCTTAAAGGACAGATGACAGCATTATACCAAAACATCATGATTTTTCATTTAAAAAGCCTTTTGTGTTTGCTAAAGACTTAAGTTCAGTTGCTCCATGTGGCTTTTTCCTTGGGGTGGACTCATACTTGGCTTCCTCTTCCTAGCCCTGACAGAGACGAGAGAAGGAGCTGGGAGGGGAAGTGCTGCCACCAGACCTGGTCATGCAGCCAATGCACCCACCCTGAGTCAGTGTTCTCTGCCCAGGTCATTTAAGGTTGAAGAAGGGCTCTCGTGAGGATCTGGAAGGAAGTCAGGGTTAAAATGGAATCTATCCCACCCCCTTGCTCTTCTGGAAGCCCAAGCTTCCCTGGCCTTAGGAACAGGCCTGGAGCCAAACAAGTCCCCATGTCCTGATTCCAGCCAACCCACCAACCTGCTGCAAGTACTGGATGGCCTGCTGGTGGTTCCTCCTCAGCTGCTCAATCTGAGCAATTTCCTGGTACAGACTAATCAGATCGGATGTCTTTTCACCCTTGGCAGCAATGATGTTATCAGTTGCCTTTTCAAAGTATGCCAGGGCTAGGTTCAACCTCTGGATGGCCAAGGAGGCTCTAGAAGAAAAGGGAAAGTCACAGAGAGGCCACTTACTTTGCAGACACAAAAGTTCCAAGAGCTAAGCAATTTGGCCTCCATACGCCAATCATCTCCAAATCCAGCCCTGCAGTAAAGAGTAAACTCCTATTAACCTGCATTTTACCCATCTGGTTCCACTGACTGCCATACATTAAACCCATTACTATATCATGCTAGACTCTAATTTTATTAAAATGTAAATGGAAAAAGTGGTTTCCAGCAACTCACAAGATGGGATACTTTATCCATTGACATAGATTCTCTAAAAATCTAAATAAAATTTTATTGCTTCTGGCTCCCTCTCTTTCAGGCCAAAGAAAGTTTTTGTTTTGTTTTGCTTGATTTAGTTTGGTTTATTCTTCCTCAGTAAAAATGAAAAAGGATAGAGAACACAGCATAAATATCCTCCAAAGGGGGATGGTTAAATAAATTATGACATAGCCATACAATAAAATACTTCACAGACTTTAAAAATAAAGTTTTCTTTTTATACTAACAGTATGGGAAGATAGTCAAAATGTGCTGCAAGATATAAAACTGTACCTAAGGTATCTCTCTCTCTCACACACACATAAACACACACACACACACACACACATAAATAAAGAAAAGATTAGAAGGAAAAAGATAAAATATCCAAAGCAGTTGTGTCTGGGTGTTGATATTACAAATGACTTTTATTTTCTTTCTCATACCTGTCTACATTTTCAAATTTTCCATGACAAAATTGGGAACATGCTTTTTAAAATTGAGGAAAAAATGGTATTTTGTTGAGCTTATCTTTCTAGAGAAAGCAAGGTACAAGAAAATCAGTAGACCAAAGCTCTATAGTTATTAGCTTTATGAGCATTCTGAGAGCCTAACTTTCCTTCCAAATAAAACAAGATTGTTGTTTGTGTGTGCCATCGAGTTGATTCCAACTCATACTGACCCCGTGTGTGTCAGAGTAGAACTGGGCTCCATAGGGTTTTCAATGGCAGATTTTTCCAGAAGTAGATCGCCAGGCCTTTCTTCCGAGGTGCCTCTAGTTGAATTTGAACCTCCAACTCTTCAGTTAGCAGCCAAGCGCGTTAACCATTTACACCACCCAGGGACTCAAAATACAGTTAAGAATATCTAAATCTCAAGGTTGTTATGAAGATTAGGTTAAATATTATATGTAAAATCACCTAACTTGTAGTAAATATACAATCAGTATTATTTCCCCCCTCATACCTTGCCCCATCTTTGTATTCCCAGGTTGAATTAAAAAATACGTATATATGCATGTGTGTGCATATATATAAAATTATTTTAACTAAGGCATTCTAACAACAGTTACACTTTTTTTTTTTTTTTAAAGTTAGAATGTTTATCCTTCCCTCAAAGACTAGGATTAATAATCAGGAGAGCACTGGTATGGTATCTGATAATTCTTCACACAAAAAAAATTTATTTTCACCAACCAGATCATAATGAGAGATTGGCTTGAACAATCTTGCTTTAGTTTCCCCACCCCTAAAATGGGAAAATGGACTTGTCCTTACTAGGTATTTGGTCACTATCAAACATAACTCCATGTGGCACAGAGGGTGAGCTATGGATTCAGATGCCTCAGTTACAATTCTACCTCTTTTACCAACTAGCTGTGTCACCCTGGGTTGCTTAAACTGTGTCTTAATTTTTTTATCTGTAAAATGAAAATAATAAAAATACCTACCACATAAGCTTGTGGTGAGGACTGAATGAAATAAATCATGTAAAGCACTTACAACAGTATCTAGTATGTAGTTACACTTAATGTGCATTACAACACTTAGAACAGTGCCTTTACAAAGTAGGAACTCAATAAACAGCATACAATGAATGAATGAAAGGATCACTAACATTTATTCTGAAAAGGGAACTAGGCTATTTTTCACACAGGCACAAAACCTTAGGCACTGCCCCATGTGACAGCAGCCTCTAATTTATGGCCCTATGGGCTTTGTCAGTAGTTTGATTTAGCTTTGGGCGTTCAGACATCTCCCCACCATTTCCCACTTGACTTCTAGATTCATGGTTGTTTCGAGGAGGCAGACATGACGCATGCATTTCATTTACTCACCATTCCGTCATCTGCCCTACTGGGCCAAGTACTTACAAATTTTGGAAACAGATTGGTTTCAAGGATATAAAGATATTTGAAAAATCTAGGAATAGTAACCCTTTCACTATTTTTTTTCTCCTGATAATCTGATGGGCCTGCTCTCATTTCTAAATATTCTGATTCTCAGAGGATTCCTAACTCAAATGCAAAACAGTTAAGTCTTGTTCTGGCTTGAAGAAATGCTGTGAACTTTGCTTCCATATGAAACAAAACTTTCCTTAAAAACTCATGGGCTGCAACTTAAAGAATATAATCAATGTCACTGAATTGTATATGTAGAAACTGTTGGTGTATGTTTTGCTGTGGATATTCTCAACAAAAAAAAAATGCATGAACTGTGCATAGCTTTCATGGGTCTCCAATAAACTGTCTTCATTAAGTGCTCCTTCTTCATCTGTTAAGATGTCACCTTTAATGACAAAAGCAGGTGGCGAGAGAGAGAGAGAGAGAGAGAGAGAGAGAGAGAGAGAGAGAGAAAATAACGTAGTTCTAGAATACACTTGAGAGGTAGTATGAGGAAAGGTTGAGCCTCTGAGTTCAGATCATGGATCCAGCACTTACAAGATCTGTCACCTCTGATTTCAGATCATGGATCCAACACTTATAAGATCTGTCACCTTGGACAATTTGTTTAACCTCAACTTTAGTTTCCTTGCTCACTCTGATGAGGTAATAACTGTACCAACTACCTCATGGTGGTTGTGAGGATTAAACGGGGCAGTGCACTTAAAGCTCCGAGCACAATGTATACCCTCAGTGAACATAAGCCTTGTTTATTACCATTTGAGTTTCTATATTTTCCCCCCAAATATTTCTCTTCCCTTTTGTAGAGAGTACAGAACACTTTTGTAATGCCAGGTCTCATTCATAAAAGCATAAATGTCTCTAAGCCCAGTGCTTACCTGCCCAAAGCAACAGTTAGGTCTTTCTCTGAAACTTGTAATCCACAAATGCCTCCCTTATCTAATTCTTTCAGCTCCTTCATGCTTCTCTCCGCCTTCTGCAGGCTGAAATAGGCCTCTCTACCAGTGAAATGGTCAAGGAAAATGCCAGGCACACAAACGAAGCCCCACTGCCCAGAGACAGCAGTTGATAATCAAACAAAAGGGTGCCATGGGAAAATGGAGCAGTATTTGAAAATGGGCACTTAACAAGGGGCTCCATTCTCCAGCATATGCTATCGAGAAGGGAGAATTCTTCAGAAAAGGACAAGGGCCTTGGGTTTCCTGTGGTGGCTGCCTGAATCCAGGGCTGGGGTGGGTGGCAGGCCTCTGGAGGAGTGAACGGAAACTGTAAGTTACACTAGATTTCCTTTAGAGGCATCTACTTCATGACAACAGTTATTCATTTTTCCCAAGTTCGTTCCTCTGAATGGAAAAAGAGAGGAACTAATTCTGCTGAAAGGGGGGCTTTTGCTGGGCTGTTTAGAAAGTACAAGCAAAAGCAGGGTTTTGTTGAGAGACTAACAGCAGGAAGGAAAATCCCCTTAATTTCCAAATATCCTTTTAGTTCCTTTCTTTTCAGTAGCCCCTGCTAGGTATTACAGTAGAAGACCACAGATCAGATTTTACAAGTTGATCATCAGTACAGAAGGGGAAGGAGCCCTGCTGGTGCAGTGGTTAAAGCACTCAGCTGCTAACCAAAAGGTCAGTGGTTCGAACCCACTAGCGGCTCCATGGGAGAAAGATGTGACCGTCTGCTCCCATAAAGATTTACAGCCTTGGAAACCCTATGGGGCAGTTCTACCCTGTCCTATATGGTTGCTGTGAGTCAGAATCAACTTGATGGCTACGGGTTATTCGGTTTTAGAGACAGGGAGCTGTAGAGAAGAGAGACTGGGGACACGAAGGCTCTACGAGTGCTCATGATTATTCAAAAACATGAAATGCCCTTAACAGTTTTGAAGAGAGATGGTCCCAAAAGGCTGCCAAAATCACAAGCTTTTTGAGGAGAGGGACATTTAACAGTCCTCCTCTGGGAATATAGGGAACTACATCTTTTATCTATTTTGCTTGGCCTGTGGCTTCAAGAGCCGTACTATCAAGAGCATTTCAAAAAAAAAAATGATGGTTACAATCACCTGGGGAGCTTTTAAAAATCTCAATGAACACACATACCCCAGACCTATTACATCAAAATCTCTAGGGTGGGACCCAGACATCAGTAATTCTCAAAGCTCCCCAGAGGATTATGATGTGCAGCCTTGTTTGCCAAACAGTGCTTGAAATGACCACCTATTTTCTCCCTTCCTGCACTACCTCCAACCAGTCACTCATGTCCTCGTTTTTCTCAAACCTGCCCCCACATCATTGCTAATACTGATTTTCTTGGGTGCCCAGTGAAGACAGACTCAGACAGACTTCCAACTGGCTAACTGGGGCTACAGATGTGTCCCCAGGGAGATCCCTCCCATGGCTCAACTCAAGGTGGATACGAGTAGACACAGGAGGGAAGTTCATACCCTTCTAGGTGGAGATAAGAGGTTTGTGGAGGGCTTAAGTATTGGAACAGAGCTACAGGGTTTTGGCTCAATCTCCCACCCTGGGTGTGAGAGGACCTATCTGACATGTGTGGCCTACAGCCCTGATCCCTGGACCCCACGAAGAAGGGAAGGATATTGGTTCTGCAGGAGCCAGGCCACTCCCAGAGTGTAGTAGAGCACGATCAGCGTTTCCACGATTTCCTTTTTCTCCTTGTTTGAGGTCGTGTTTACCTTCCAGGTTAGCAGCGTGCTCCTGGCTGACTCAGCATGTTTCTTGGCCTGAGCTGGGAGGCCTGGGGAAGTTTGACGGTGGGTGGCAAGAAACAAAGATTAAAAAGACATGATTCAGTGAAGACACTCCTGAGAGGAGATAAGATGGGCAGTGTGATTATTATATGGTCTATAGTAATGTCTCCCAAATATGGCTGTGCACCAGAATTATCTGGAAAGCTTGTTAAGAATATAGATTCCTCAGACCCACTGAGTTGGAATCTCTAGAAGAATGGGACCCAAGAAGCTATATTTTGAACAAATTCAACAAGGGATTCTTATGCAGCCATCCCTGCATTTGTCGGTAGACCTCGTTTGGAAACCATTGATAGAGATAGGAAGGAAAGCTGAGTATCCCTCTCCCAGTTCTGACATTAATGCCATGTGACCTTTTCAACTCGCAAAACTTCTTCCATGCTTCGAATGTAGAATGACAACAATAATTACAGAAGCTGCCCCTTACTAAACACACAGAGACAGTGTAGCAACCAACTAGGTTATGCCATAGAGTGCTGTGCTTTGGGCTTTCTGGGAAAGGCATTCTATAAATACAAGAGCTTATGAATGCAATTACTTCCATCTGGAGAGTTTTTCAATCCAAGATGAAGCTAATGATACTGACTGGTCACACACATATAAAAAGAATCCAACTTCTAAATGCAATGAGGCCCCTCACTAAGAAGACAAAGGGAATGCCAAACTCCTACCAGAGAGAACTTGTGGGGTTTTGTCCCCCTTGTTTTCTAACTAAAGGATGGTATTCCTAGGCACTTAGTCGAGCTGCTAGTTGTCCAGTTAATAGAGGGAGACCTGGGAACATTCAATTTACGAGATTACTTCTTTAACTTCCGGCCTCACCTGTGTCTAGTGATCCCTGATGGGGAAGGGGAAGCCCTGGGGAAAACAGAAAGGCCATCAAAGGACATATCCTAGGAGTTACCCTCCTCCCTCCTGAAAACAGTAATGGCTGGTGTTCACTTTCAGCAGGCACCAAGGGCTGATAAACATACCCATCACTGCCACGTAGGCCCAGTGCACCCCTAATCCTGATGCCATATTCCCCCTTTGCAACACCAGCCCCACGTCCTACTCAGCTTGCACTGCCTTTGGCCCTTGGAACTTGGTTTCACGATCTGGGTGCAAGCCAGTGGCAATAGGGCTAGTTTGCAAAGACTTGTCTTTTGATGCCTGTGGCGCTCACATGTTCCAAATGTGCTGGACCTCCTTAATGAGTTGCAACAATGGGAGGGGACAAAGCCTTCTCTGGGAGAACCCTAAAAGTGATCCAGGAACCAAGAAATCTTTGTAGAACGCTCATAGACGTCATGTTCTATAGGTTTCAACTGGAAATATAGACTCTGTCTCTCCCAAGGAGAAGACTGTGTCATAAGTTACCAGACAGCAGTGGCTCTCCAAGTGACTGTGCATCATGAACACCCTGTTAACATGCAGATTCCTGGGCCTCCATTCACAGAGTCAAAGGTGGGAAGTAAGAATGCACATCTATAATAAGCACCTAGGTGATACTGTACAGGTAATTTGAGAACCACACTCTGAGAAACACTGAGTTAGTAAAATCTTTTTACAGGAAGTGAGGAGCCCTTCTAGGGCTTGAGGAAGGAGCAATGAAGTAGTAAACTCGCAGAAAACTCTGCCTGGGACATCAGAAGCTGGAGCTTCTGTTTCAGAGACCGAGACAATAAAGCAGGAAACCAAGAGAGTCTTTTTATCAAATAGGTTTTCCACAACCAGGGTGTTAGGAAAGGCAGCAACCAAATTCAGATGCTTTCCTGGAAAGTGGTATCATATGCAGGGTCAGGAGGAGAAAGAAAGGTGAAACAGGGGGAGCTACTGAAAACCACCCCTGAATCAGCACAACTACCCCTCCAGGCTCACTGTTGTTACTGCTGTTGTGTGCTATCGACTCAACTCTGACTGTGGAGTTGATTCTGACTCATAGCAACCCTATATGACAAAGTAGAACTGCCTCATATGGTTTCCTAGGCTGTAATCACCACGTCTTTTCTCCCGAGGGGCCGCTGGTGAGTTCAAACTGCCAACTTTTTGGTTAGCAGCCAACCGTTGTGACACTAGGGTACCTTATGAAGGACACAGAAAAGGTAAATACATAGAGATCAGAGTTTAATAGCGGTTAACAGAGGTGGGAGATAGGTGGGAGGGAGGGGGAGGGAGGGAATTACTGTTTCAGAAGCACTGAGTTTTTGTTTATGGGGTTGAAAAATTTGGCAAAAGACACTGGTGATGGTTGCACAGCATGACTGATATAACTGATCTCACTGAATTGTATATGTGAAAAACGTCAAACTGGCAAATATGGTGCCTGTAGCGCCATGTGCAAATGTAAGCATACATTCTCATTTCTCTCCTATACTTTTACAACAATAAAAAGAGGCAATTAATAGCATCTAACAGGTAGAGTTGTTACAAGGATTAATTTAAATTAATCATGAGAAAGGATTAAACAGTGTCTGACACAGAGGAATGAAGTATTTTGAATAAGTATTTGCTATCATCATTATTGAAGCCCTAGTGGCTCAGTGGTTAGGAGCTTGGCTGCTAATCAAAAGGTCAGCAGTTCGAATTCACCAGCCTCTCCTCTGTCCTATAGGGTCACTATGAGTCGGAGTCGACTCAACGGCAACGGGTATCATCATTACTATTACCAAGGTCTCTTCCTGTATTAAGTAATTCACTATACTTGTTCTTCCTTTGGACATTTTTCTAGTCAGAGATGCTTACAGAATCTCTGTAAAAGGGCTGCATTCTCAAATGCAAACTCGATTCAGATTGGTATTAAGCTTCCTGCATGTCAGATTACCTGGGTTTTATCATTCCTTGCTTTTTCACGTGTACCACTTTTGTTTTCCCCAAGTAAACAGAGCAAGTAAGGCTCATGACTTATGCTTCTTTGTCTACACTTTGTGACACCTGTAACAGAGCCCTGAGTACCTGGAAAGTTTCCAGTCATAACACGCTGATTGATTAATTTATGACTTCATTAATAATAAGAAAAATATCAAGAACCTGTTTGTACATGTTAGTGTATTCTCCTTCCTGAACACCAAACTAAAACCAACGAAATTCATTGCTGTCGAGTCAATTCCAACTCATAGCAACCCTATAGGACATAGTAGAACTGCCCCATAGAGTTTCCAAGGAGCAGCTGGTGGATTCAAACTGCCAACCTTTTGGTTAGCAGCCCAACGTATAACCGCTGTGCCAACTTGAAAACAGTTCACCACTAGGAGGCACACCACTCTGGTGTTCTCCAATTGCCCTTTTCTCAGCTGCTTTATCACTGGGCTTCCTAGGATTTTCATCAGGTCATAAGGCAACAGAGTTCCACTTCGTGCCAAAGTTTCCCTTACTATTTCACTATTACTATGGAGCCCCAGTGGCACAGTGGTTAAGGGCTCAGCTGCTAACCAAAAGTCAGCAGTTCAAATCCACCAGCCGCTCCTTGGAAACCCTATGGAGCAGTTCTACTCGAGGCCCTATAGGGTCACTATGAGTCTCAATCGACTCGACAGCAATGGGTTTTTTTTTACTGGGCCAACCAACACCCTTTTACACTTCTGCTTTGCCAAGGCCTCATATTCTCTCATGTTGTTGGCTACTGAACCCCATTCCATCAATTACTCCATTTTTTAAAACCTTCCAACTCTCTCTCCTAACTGGCTGCTTCCCCTCTGCCAAAAATCTTCCTGGTCCTCCTTATTTTGTAAAACAGCTTCACTTGACTCTTCTGCCTTCTCTGGCTACCCTCCTATTTTTTCATCACACTTTCAATATATAAACCCATTGCTGTCTAGTCAAATTCTGACTCACAGCGACTCTTACATAGTAAGTAGACTATGTGTCTAGTCTACTGGTCCCTGTTCCTTCTCATCCACTTTCCCCTGGTCGTTGGGATCTGGCTTCTGTTCCAGCCGTTTTGTAGACACTGTTCTCCTAAAGTTCCCAAAGACCTCCTGATAAAAAAAATCCAGCCACTGTTTCTGAAGCCCCATCTTGTTGCAGTACCAGACATTCTCATCTGCTTGGCTTCTCCCCTTGGCTCCCAAGACACTGAACCAACTTAACTAATCAGTTGCCATTGAGTTGATTCCAACTGATGGTGGCCCCATGTGTGTCAGAGTAGAACTATGCACCACAGGGTTTTCAGTGGCTGATTTTTTGGAAGCAGATAACTAGACTTTTCTTCTGAGGCACCTCTGGGTGGACTCGAACCTCCAATGATTCAATTAGCAGCTGAGCATGCTAACTGACAGCACCACCCAGGGACTCTCCACTAACTTGGCTCTCCTTTATAAAAACAAACAAACAAAGAAAAAACCTCTTTGCCATTGAGTTGATTTTCACTCATGGTGACCCTACATGTTACAAAGTAGAACTGAGCTCCACAGGATTTTCTTGGTTGTAAAGTTTACGGAAGTAGATTGCCAGGCCTTTCACTTGGTGCACCACTGGGTAGACTCAAACCACCGAACTTTCCATTAGCAGCCAAGTGTAAATTGTTTGCACCACCCAAGGACCTCTCCTTTATGAACTTTCTCTAATTGATTCTTTGCTAACTCTTTACCAGGGTGCTTTATTCTCCTCGAGAATCCCTGAGTGGTGCAAATGGTTAACATGCTCAACTGCTAACTGAAAGGTTGGAGGTTCCAGGCCACCCAGAGGCACAGAACATAGGCCTGTTGAGCTCAAAAAAACCAAAACCAAACTGGTTGCTATTGAGTCGATTCTGACTCATAGCAACGCTATAGGACAGAGTAGAATTGCCCCATAGGGTTTCCAAGGAGCAGCTGGGTAGATTTGAACTGATGACTTTTTGTTTAGCAGTCAAGCTCTTAACCACTGTGCCACCAGGGCTCTGTCCAGTGACCTATTTCTGAAAAATCAGCCACTGAAAACTCTTCAGAGCACAGTTCTACTCTGACACACATGAGGTTGCCATGAGTTGGAATCCACATGAAGGCAACTGTGTTTTTTTCCTCTTCCATTAATGTGACCATTCCCAATGATTTGTCTTTTAGCTACTTCCTCTTCTTCTCTTTTTCCCTCTCAGAGGTATAATCAACTCCATAACTTCAACCTTGGCCTCCATGCTTACAATTTCCATTTCCCCTCCCAAGTTCTGATCTCAAATATTCTTTCATGCTTATGATTTGCCTTCTCTCCTCCTGAGTTCTGGCTCCCAATTTCAATATGTTATATTCAAAATCAGTTTAAAAAAAAAAACAAAAACCTGGACTCATCATTCCTCTCCTCAGACTACTTCCTTTTCATGACCTACCTATCTTTGAAAGTGGCACCTTCTGGGGCCTGAAACTTGAGGATAGTCTTTGGGTCTCACTTTTCCTCACCTCCAAATCGAACACCATGTCCTGCTAATTCTTCCTTCACAGTTTTTCTTAAAATTATCATTTTTCAATAGGTAATACATTTTCAGAGAAGCCCTTGTGGCACAGTGGTTAAGCACTCAGCTGTTAACCGAAAGGTCAGTGGTTTGAACTCACCAACTGCTCCACTAGAGAAAGATGTGGCAGTCTGCTTCCATAAAGATTAAACCAAAAAAGCAAATCCATTGCCATCAAGTCGATTCTGATTCATAGTGACCCTATAGGACAGAGCAGAACTGCCCCATAGGGTTTCCAAGGAGTGGATGGTGGATTCAAACTGTTGACCTTTTGGTTAGCAGCTGAGCTCTTAGCCACTGCACCAACAGGGCTCCTCCATAAAGATTACAGCCTTGGAAACCCTATGGGGCAGTCCTACTCTGCACACATGGAGTTACCATGAGTCAGAATCAACTCGACGATAACTAACAACATATTCAAATGTGTGTATGTACTAGTCCCCTGTTGATGGATTCTTGAGTTGTTTCCAATCTTTTACTACTGCAGACAATACTGCAAAGAATAATCTTATCCACACATCATTTTATAAGTGTACAATTTAGGAAATATTCCCAGAAGTAGGACTTCTAGTTTAAAGGATAATTGAATATGCCCTTCATAGATTCTTGAGTCCTCACCTTCTCACCAGTTCCCACTGTCCCTAGTCTGGTTTTGGACCTAGATGACTGAGACAGCTCCTGTTCTAGCTATCACTGCTACATTAATCTTTCCAAAATGGCACTTTGATTTTTTTCATCCTTCTTCTTGAAAATCTTCAATAGCCCTTCTTGCCTATAAATTACAAGTTCTTACAAATAAACTACAAATTCCTTAGCCTATATTTAAAACCACTATGGTCTGCCCATCTCCTCCTTTGTATCCTCCTTTCCAGGTTCATTTTACCAGTCCTAATCTTAGCCAGACAAGTCTGCTCACTGCTTTCTAAACAAACGAACTTTCCTACCACTGTACCTTTGTCTATGCCTTTCTCTTCATCAGAAATGTCCACCTTTCACTCTGCCTACCCAAACCCTAACTCATTTTTTAAGGTTCTGCTTGAATGCCAACTCCCCCGTTGAATCTGTTACTAACCACCCAACTTTCTCAATGCACTTTATTTAAGCACTTTGTTTAAATCAATTAAAGGGCATTTATCTTATAATGCCTTCAACTGTAGTTATGTCTCCATCTATCTTACCTTCCATACTAGGTTGTAAGTTCTTTGAGGGCAAAGACTATGCTTCTGTATCTTATATTTCCCAAAGTGCCTTTCACAGTACTTCACATGTAGAGGTTTCTCCCTAAATACTCTCTGAATGACTATTTACTGACAAAATTAGCCTTTTGGTTTGACCCCCATGCTCTAATGCTGGAAAAGGCTCACAGGGAAATGAGGAAAGCAGGTCTGGTGGCTGAATAACATGCACATGTGCAGCAAGGCATGACCAAGCAACGCCACACATATACTGCCTACACAGAAGGCTAGCTCATACATTCTGTTCATTTTAAAGCAGTTACAGGCTTAATGACAAAAAAACTAAGTGGAGCTCAGCAAGCACTTCATCCCTCTTGAAAGTTAATGAGTTTTAAAAAGTCTTAGTTGTTTTATTCCCTGACCATAGACTTTTTAAAAAGTTAAAGGTCAGGACAACAGTTGAAATAAAGGGCACTGGGCTGCTCTCAAAGAAGGTCACAGTCATAATCTATTGCAGAAGAACTCCAGGCTGGGCACCACAAAGTCTGGGTTCAAGGCTGGGCAGTTATACCATGTGGGCACTTCATCTAATCAAGTTGTTTTTCCCATCTACAAACAAACAAAAATCCTTTCTATACAGGAAAACTTTTTCCCTCTAACTTACTACCCCAAAAGTGGTTCTCCATTCAAGCAGCAGGAAGAACTGAATTAAGGAGACAAAAAATGATGTTCCCACCATCTTTTCTTATGTGAGCTATTTAACTATCTTGATTCAGCCTGGAATCTAATAGGAAAAGTACAACTCAAAGTCAGTTTGTAGCTGATGATGGAAAGGGTTGATTTCATAGTCCATAATTCTGACAAAAGTGATCTAACCAAGCCAGTGGAGACAGCACCTGGCTTGCCCTAGGTTCAGACAAAGCTCCCCATGAAGCACTTCTTGTATCCTTCCATTCCTCCCCCTCAAGTTCAAGTCATCATTATCTGAAGCCTGAATTCCAGCAAGAGTCACCTATCTCATCTCCCTGAATCTGGGCTGTCCCAGGGCCCAAGTATCATACTTGTCAGTGCCACGTCTAGTGCTAATGACCTACCAATTACCAAATCCATGCATCTCGCTTCAGCGTTTACCTTATTTGACTGTCTACCATCTGAAACTGTTGAAAACTATGCTGCACTTCTTCCTGAAATCTTCACATCTCCCTTGACACTGCCCCTCCTGATTCTTCTATTTCCTTTGCTGGCTTGTCTTCTGCTACTCATTTGTAAGGTTGGTGTTCCTTAGCTTTCTATCTTCTGTCTCTTCCTCTCTCTTTCTACATAATACTTATAATCAATTTCATCCACTCCTATGGCCTCTATTATTTCCTAGGTGCTAATTCCTCTCAAACTGACAACTTCCCCAGCTTCAGACCCACCTTTCAGTTGCCAAGCAAGGAACGTCAACCAGGTTGTTCCACAGGTACCTCACACTGGCCATGATCTTGCTACTGAAATCAGACTCAGTACCTTCCATCTGCCAACAAATATTCATTGAACCCTGACTGCAAAGTTCCTCCCCTGATGGAAATTATACTTGTATTTCAGCTTTAGCAAACATTCTTCCCCTATCCCTTCTAGTAGCACCATTTCTCTAGAATCACCTTTCCCCAAGCCAGACTTTCCAGGTACTTGAGTTCTGCCCTTGAAGCACCAGTCCTATTATTGGGCCTGCCTCCTTGATGCCAGCTCACCTGCCTGTCCTTCCCCTGTTGACCTGTGGCTGGAAATTCTGATACTGTCCTTTGCCCATGTGCAGTTGTTGGCAAGTCATTTAGCCTTTTTGTGCCCCAATGTCCTCATCTGCAAGCTAAGGATAATAATAGTATCATCTCCCTCCAAGGCATATTGTGAGGATTAAATAAGACTAGCTTGGTACACATTAAAAGTACTCAATATCATTGTCATCATTATTCTCTTTATTACTGAGATCCCCACCATCCTGTCTCAACCATGGACTTTCTCCTCCACTTGAGGAGGTGTGAATTGGGGGCAGAAAGGAACCTCTCATCATCTCCCCCTACCCAAAGTGGTTGTATGTGGGCTCAGTTCATCCCTCCCTCACAGGATGGCCCACCCACATCCAACTATGGAAACCAAGTACCTCTCAGTGTCAGGTAGCCATAAGCCAGGTTGGCCAAAGCCTGGGCACATTTCCAATGCTCTTCTCCAAAAATAATGCGAGAAAGGATGACACAGCGAATCAGCTCCTGGTTTGCTTGGGTATTCTGTGGAAAGCAAGTAAGTCATTAATTTATTTTTTGAAAAGGAAAAATATCCCCAGCCCACATTCTTGTCACTGGAATACACACATGAATTTACCTTTCATCTTTTTTTCTCTTTCCTTACCATTCCACTTGCAACCCATCAAGTCCTGTTAGCTCCACCTTAATCCTAAATCCTCAAACCAAGCTCTTCTCCTTATTTCTGCCATGAGTACCTAGTCCAAGCAACCCTCATCTTTAACCTGCCTGACCACAACAGCCTCTCCTGCTTTCTCTTGCCCCTCAGTCTACTTTCTCCATGATAGCCAGAATGATTTGTTTTAACCTTTTATTGTGGAAAATTTTCAAAATATACAAAAATAGCATGGATAATAAATCACTTGGCTTCATCATCAGTTATCTACTCATGGACAATCTTGTTTCATATCTACACTCCCCATCCACCTACCTTTCCCCTTTATTATTCTGAACAAATTTAAGACACATCTATTAATATTTCATAAGTTATCTCTAAAAGATAAGGACTTAAAAAAAATCACAAAACCAATATCTACCAAAAAATTAACAATAATACCTTAATATAAATATATAGTCTCATAAATCTATTTTTTTTTAGTTTGACTCAGAATCCAATTACAGTCTACACATGAGATCAGTTGCCAGATCTCTTAAGTCTCTTTTCAACTATAGGTTCCCCCTCTATTATGAATTATGCCCCCCCAAAAAACATATATTGAAGTCCTAACCCCTATACCCCTGTTTGGAAATAGGGGGTTTCTTTTGTTATGTTAATGAGATCATACTGGAATAGGGTGAGTCCTAAACCTAACCCCTTCTAAGTGGTAGCTTATAAAAGGAAAAAAAAACAGACACAGAGAACATACACAAAGGGGAAGACAGACACCATGTAAAGATATATCTAGAAGCAGCCAAGGAATGCCGAGGTTACAAAAGCGGAAAGAAGGATCTTCCTCTACAGCCCAGAGACAGAGAAAAAGGCAGAGAGTGCCTAGCCCTGCTGAAGCTCTGAATTCAAAATCGTAGCATCCAGAACTGTGAGAAAATGAATTTCTGTTCTTGTAGGCCACCCATTTGCATTATATTTTGTTATGGCAGCACTAGGAAACTAAGACACCCTTCATCTCTAATTCTTTTTTGTGCAAATTATTTGTTAAAGAAACTGGGTCATTTGGTCTACAGTGCTTCCCACAGAGGTGAATTTTGTTGATTCATTGTGTCCCTCCACTCTGTTCTGCCTTTGTATTAGTGGTTGGATTTAGAAGATTGGCTAGTTTTAGGCTTGACTTTTTTTTTTTTCCTTTTTTAGAAAGACTACTTCATAAGTGGTGGTGTGTTCTTTCCAGGGCCTTGAACCAGTTTGTTGCAGTTCGAACACCTGCTGAGAATTTGCATTTCTCTCCCAGACATACTGAATCAGAATCTACATTTTAACAAGATCCCCAGGGGATTCTTATAGATCCCTATTTTGTTAAAATGTAGATTCTGATTAGGTATATCTGGGTGGAACGGCAAATTCCCAGCAGGGGTTCGAACTGTAAGGAACCATTTCAAAGCCCTGGTTCTTTCATCAAAATACAACTTATTTCAGGTTTTTTTGTCTGATGTTAGAATAACTGGATGGATTAATTCATAAGAGACTATAAAATGTTTATATGATAATTGTATCATTCTTTCATTTATTAGCTGGTATAATTCTATAAAAGGAAATTGCCTTTGTCTACTTTTTGTTACCCACTAGTATAGCTCATATTAGAAAGGGAAGCTACACAATTTATTCTTTCCCCTTACTTGCCAGCTTTCAACATAATGAGTTCATTTACTAGTATCCTCCATGGTGACCAACAAGGTTTATTATTATTATTAATTTATAGATTTTTAGACATATTTGATGTGGTGGCATAATCTTTTAATATAAACTAGACCATGTGACTCTCCCATTCAAAACCTTCTGACAGCTTCTCGCCTTTTATTCTAAATAAAATCCAAAGTCCTTACCATGGCCTCCAAAATAAATAAATAGATAAAACCAAACTTGTTGCCATCAAGTCAATTCTGACTCATAGCAACCTTACAGGACAGAGTAGAACTGCCCCATGGGGTTTCCAAGGAGCAGACGGTGGATCTGAACTGCCAACCTTTTGGTTGGCAGCTGAGCTCTTAACCACTGCACCACCAGCGCTCCATGGCTCTGCATAACCTGGCCCTACTCTAATGAGCCCCCTGACTTCACTTCCTACCACTCTCTCCTCCTCTTCTTACTCACTCTGCGAGAGCCATACTGACCAACTGTTCTTCAACATGACAAACTCATTCTAACTCGGGGATTTTGCCGTTGCTATTCCCCCTGCTTGGGACACTCTTCCATGTGGTTCACTCTCTCATTTCATTTTGTTCACCTCAGAGAGGCCTTTCTTGGCCACTTTACCTAAAATAGCCTCTCATCACATCCCTTGCTATCCCCTTACCCATTTTATTTTTTTTCATAAAACTTACCTCTGTTTGATGTTGTATTAACTACTGTGTTTTGCTTGTTTGTCTATTTTCTGACTCCCTAAATAGAAGATAAGTTCCTTGAGGACAGAAGTTCATACCTCACGTTCACTGCTGTATGCCCTGTGCCTGGCACAGAGAAGAGACTCATTTCATAGTCATAGTTCATCTATTAGCAAGGATAGGGCTGGGGTAGGGAAAGAGCTTCCTCGCCCCTAGAGAACTGATAGGCAGAGCTCTCTTAGAAATCATAAAATTGTATTGTCAAGTCATAGATTTCAGTAACTTTTAAACTACAGCCATCTATTGGCTGTATCAACAGGCAAAGTCAGGCATTTATTTCCTGGTGAGGTGAAAACAGCACATCAAGGAATCAAAAGCCTGGACTTTCAGCCCTGGTTCTAATGTTTACTGAAAATATTGCTTTGGCAAAGATCACCCTGAGTCTCTGCTTCCTTCTCTGAGATTTGGAAACCTATCCCGTCTACCTCATAAGAGTTATTGTGAGGAAAAACATGAGTCAGCATCGAAGTGATCCAAACTTAAAAAGTGCTACGTAAATGTAACTGGCAGGTACAGCATGCCTTATGTGGGTTCAAGGACTGCTCTCCCTCCTGACCCCTATTCTCCCACCTAACCTGATGCTTCATCTGCTCCCTGCTCAAATATACGGAAACAAACGTTAGAGGGACACTTTCTGTGATGCTTTAAATGCCATCTATTCTGTCAGGATTTACGAGTGCTCACCATGGGCTTCCCACAGTAACAACTAAGTTCTATTTTGAAGCAGCAGCACAATACCATTAAAAAACAAACAACAACAAAACCACTGGACTGGGAGTTCCAAACCTTGTGTTCTGGTCCTGGCTTTGGACATTCTGTATTCATCCTTCCCCAAAATCCCTGCCCTGAAGAAACTGAAACAAGCAACATGGGCTATAGAGGTCAACCCAGTACTGCTGCTGCGGCTGGTGGCAATGTCCCAGCCCTTCAGAGCTGTGAGGACTGGGTATGGTGAAAGCCCTGCTATCCCTCAGATCTAACTCCCAAAGTCGAAATCTTTGTCATTATCCAAACTGACCAAGGAGTTTTAAGCCTTCAAAGCTCACACTTGTACTCCACGGCAGACAGTACTTAACTGCTTCTAGAAATGATCTTTCTAGGCTGGATTTGTGAGATACTAATGGGTCCAGGCCAGGACAATTCTGCTTTGCAAGCCTTCTGGGTAAATTACAGAGGACCCATCTAGGGAGGTATCAGCCTCTGCCTCTGAGGTAACTCCTAGCCTTTCCTAAGCCAGCTGCAGACTGTTTTATCACATTTGTACCTCAAGATCATTTTCTTCCTTGGCCAGGAAGTCAGTGTAAAAATTCTTCTGTTGATAGATCATGCTCTCGAAGCAAGCTGGTGCCTGCATTCAAATATTGACGGGTGTAACTGTGCTGTCTCAGGTTCCTGGATTTTGAACACTCTCGCTTATTCCCTTGCTCTGAGATCCTAGTTCCCAAGTCCTCAACTCACTCCTAGAAACTCATACCTGGACTCTCTGACCTCTGCAGCCACCTCCTGTTTCTGATCCTTTGGTTTATGATTCCACTATAACCACAGGCATCTTACCTGTATTCTTATCAAGCCTGAGCCCAGATCTCTGCCTGGCTACTCGTCCTCAGCCTCCTACCTCAATATCCTAATCCCTTCTGAGTGGTGTCTTATAAAAAGGGAAAACAGACACAGAAAGGTACACACACAGGGGATTACTCAAGGTGTACTTGTTACTCGAGATGTACTATCCTGAAACCTTCCAAGGAAAATTTAAAAAAAAAAATTTTTTTTTAACTTAAAGGTAATCCAACAGCAACAGAAAGAATCAAACACTATTTTTGAGTTTAAAACTAGGAGCACGAGTACTCCAAGGAAGAAAGCACAGTGAACCATGTGTGCTACACCAAGCCAGATGGGCTGGCTCCCCGACTATGCTTTGCTGTTTTCTCCCACTGTACAAAGAAATCAAATACCTTCCTCTACTACTTCATGCACATCAATCTGCAGTTGAGGTAGAGCTTCTCGAATCATGGATGCTATTTTTAAATTGAAACAAAAACCTAGTGAGTTTTTTGTTTGCTTTACCATTTTTTCCTTAATCAGCACAGCTGTTTTCTTCTGGGACTGGGCTAATTTGTCTTTGGGAAGAGACATGCGGTCTATGATCTTCTCCTCCTCCTCCTTGGATGTAGCATCTTCTTCACTCTCTCCAGAACCCCCAGTGTGATACAAGTCATCTATTTGCTGGTGTGCTGGGATGTTGGTTTGCTGTGACCTGTGGGTATCGGGGGGCGGGGTGTCAGGATTTAGCTTTTGCATATAGCAAACAAGGTTAAAACTGAAGAACATACCCCTCTTAACTGGGGGCTAGGGATATGATTTCTTGAGAAACACATGAAGGAGTAAAGCTAAAGTGGTAAGTTTATGATACCCTCAAAGCCCAGCCTTAGGATAGCAATGTGGTAGTTCAAATTAAACGGATTTGGCATCCCACCCACCTCTATTCGTATCACAGCTCTGCTAGTTACGAATCATATGATCCTAAGCAAATTATTACTTAATTTACTTCTCTGCCAAATGAGAACAACATGAGTATCTACCTGATGAGGTTATGGGAGGATTAAATGACATAATGCTCAAAAATCACTTAGTGCAGTGCTCTTTTAACATTAGCTATTATTATTACCATTAGCTCCATGATTTGCTTTCTTTATCTACAAAATGAGGATGTTGCATTGGAAGTTCTCAAAGATCCTTCTGGTTCTAAAATTCTGATCCATGCCAGGAAAGAAAATGGATATCGTAAAATAAGGGAAAGGGACCTAACATTCTGAGGCTAGATTTTGCATGTCCTGTTTCATATATCTCAAAAAACCTCAACATGCAGTGGCAACTAACTAAAGAGGACATGAGTCCCGCCAGGGAGAGGTACCCCACACTGGATCAAGTGCAGAGTCAGAAGAGAAATGGCCCTCTCGGGTGTTAGAAATAAATGTGGTAAGAAAGAGCGGATTGGGTTGACAATCAATCTCTCAACACACCCAAACACAAACGCACTCTCACACAACGTACAAGATCTTTGACTTCAATGCTTAACATGGGCATTGGAATGGCAGATAAACGTCAAAAGAGTTCATCTTAAACAACAAATTAGACAGCCATATCGAAATGTCACCAGAAAAAAAATCAGTAACGTGATCCAGAATAAACAGAATTATGAAATCTTAAGAGCAACTATAAAGAATTTCTTTCATTATAGTAAGTCCCCCGAGGAAATCATCTCTCCATTCACGATAGCTTTAAAAGTTCAATCACTGAATTTTTTAACATTTTTCTCCTGATTATATTTATGTAATAGTAAGTAATGAATATTCACTGTAAAAAAGAAAAAAAAGAAAAAGAAAAAAATCCGAAAAGCACAAAAGGAAAATGTCAACTGTAATCCTTCACAACTGATTTGAAAAATGACATGCTAATATCCATCTAGAGTCCTGTCTAAATAGCCTATGCAGAAGCATGCAGGCAAACCAAGTCGGGGCTAGGAGAGCAACATTTCTTCCGGTCCACGTCCAAGCAGGATCCCCTTCTGCCTACAGACAGAAGCATGCTTTCAGAAGACATGCTAACTCAGTGGAAAAGAGAGGGAAGGCTGGCTATGCAATGTTATCAGAAGACAGGTAATAAACTGGCCTCTTCTCTGCCTGGTGAATTCTGTACTCCCCTTCAAGACCATTCAGCTGTCAACTCTGCTGGAAGTCTTCTCTAATTAGAATAGAGGTAGGTTCACCCTCCAAAGTGCTTTAAAAAATTTGCCCCCTGTGAAAAACAGTGTAGTTGTGTCAGACCTCTAATTTCACAAGGAGGAGCTGGGCGGGGAAGGAATCAAGATTATTAGCATCAGTCAGAGGCTGATTCCTATGAGGCAGAGGTCAGACATACCTCCACTCTCCAACCTTTTTCCCAGTTCTGGCACCAGCTGTCCCTCCTGCTTCTCTGCTGGGTTCAATAATTTGTTGCAATAGCCACACAGAACTCACAGGCCATACCCACAGTTATGGGGTTTATTAGGGAAGTAACAGGTTACAATTCAAGATCAGGAATGACTCAGGATACAGTTTTTTGGTCAGGACAGCTTCTGGACCACGCTTGCAGGTAGGCCTCTCTCTCAGCTCTCGACCCCTTTTTGTCAGGGCTTTGCCCTGCTTGGGCAAGTGTTACAAAGCTCTAGCTCTGCCAGGAAGTGCCTGAAGGCACCCCACTCAACTAGTAAACCTCCTGCCCAAAGGTGCTCAGTTCTCTCACTCTGTGGGTCCACACACCCACTGTAGCCGCTTTGTTACACGTGCCAGGAAGCCCAATGAGTCATCTCATGCTGGTCTCCTGGTTCTGCTGCCACCGTTTCTCTGCTGCCACTTCTCGTCATCTTGTGCTGTTTCCAGTGTTAGAATTCTCTGTCTCCTGGGTCTAAGAGGTTCTCAGCATGGGGTCCCCAGGTCCAAAGGACACAGTCCGTTCTCAGCAATTCCTTTTTTTAAAATTTTTTTTATTGTACTTTAGGTGAAGGTTTACAGAACAAATAGTTTCTCATGAAACAGTAGTACACATATTGTTTTATGACATTGGTTAATAACCCCACAACATGTCAACCCTCTCCCTTCTCTTTTTTTTAGTGAAAATATACATAGCCAAATATACACCATTTCAAAAATTTCTATATGCACAGTTCAGTAACATCGACTACGTTCTTCCAATTGTGCTGCTATTCTCACTTTAGATGAAGGTTTACAGAACAAAACAGTTTCTCATTAAACAGTACACATGTTGCCCTATGACAATGGTTAACAACCTCACAACACCTCAACATTATCCTTACTCAGCCTTGGGTTCCCTATCACCAGCTTTCCTGTCCCCTTCTGCCTTCTAGCCCTTGTCCCTGGATTGCTGTGTCTCATTAGTCCTATTTGGTTTTATGGGGCTGTCCACTCCCCGGCTGAACGGTGAACCTCGGAAATGACTTTACCACTGAGCTAAAAGGGTATCTGGGGGCCATACTCTCGGGGTTTCTCCAGTCTCCTTTGGCCAGTAAATCTGGTCTTTTTTGTGTATGTGTTAGAATTTTGTTCTACATCCTTCTCCAGCTCTGTCGAGAACCCTCTGTTGTGATCCTGGTCAGAGCAGTCAGTGGTGGTAGCCAGGTACCATCTAGCTGTACTGGACTCAGTCTCGTGGAGGCCTTGGTAGCTGTGGTCCATTAGTCCTTTGGACTAATCTTTTCCTTGTATCCTGTTCTCTTCATTCTCCCTTGCTCCCGAAGGGGTGAGACCAGTGGAGTATCTTAGATGGCTGCTCACAGGCTTTTAAGACCCCAGACGCTACTCACCAAGGTAGAATGTAGAACATTGTCTTTATAAACTGTGTTATGCCAGTTGAGCTAGATGTTCCCCGAGACCATGGTCCCCACAGCCCTCTGCCCAGCAATTCAGTCCCTCAGGGAGTTTGGATGTGTCCATGGAGCTTCCATGACCTTTCCTTGTACAAGTTGTGTCTCAGCAATTCTTGGTGTTAGTGAGGTCCCCTCTCTCTCTGCTTCTGGGATTCGCTCCCTTTAAGCCTAGCAGGATGGCAAAACTGACCAATCCCCTTGTTAGGGTTCTATATAACTTATTTGCATGGTCCCACCCCTGCAAGGATTCCATGCATCTTATTTGCAGTTAGCAAGCTGTCCAATCCCCTTAGTGGGCCATAAGCACCTTATTTGCATAGTCCCACCCAATCATTTTTATGGGAGTCACAAGACCATGAATGGATAGAAGGACCAGATTAACCAATTCACTGCACCATAACCAGAAACCTCTATGACAGTATGAATGACATTATGTTCTAATTTTTTTTTAGGGGGTGGTGGTCTTTGTTTTGTTTCTGAGTCTTCTTTGCCTTCTAGCAAATGAACTCTACCAAGGAAGGGCTAAGTCTCATTCATTTCTGAAATCCTGATACTTGCCCCACAGTAAAAACAAATAATGGTTTGTTAAATGAATGAAAAAAGAAAGTGTCTCTGGAATGCCTGAAAAATAGAAAATCTATGGCAAAGATACCATAGCTCAAGAAAACGAATAGAAAATCTAGTCCCTTAATATAAGATTTTATGTAGGCTGTATAGTTCACAGATCTGGAGCAGAAGTTAACTCTATTAAGGTCACCAAAGAGATTACTAATTAAAAACTATAAGCCCCAAGTATTTTAAATTCAGCCTTGCATGTAATTAAGCTGAGACTAGAAGCAGCAGATTTCAATAGCAGAAACCACAAAGGAATGAGAAACACTAAGGTCTTCACAAATGATTTGTGAATACAAGACCTGAACTAGCATTGACCATCTTGTTATAAAAGATAATTAAAGATGGTTGAAGAATATTGACCACTCAGATACCTTGAAGAAGTCAGAATAAAAAGAATAATCAGGTTGAATGAAGGGCCTGCCTTGCCAGATTTATACTTATTCACGTTGCCTACATAAATATGAATTCTGGTTAGTTTATTTCCAAGAAATTCTGCTAGTGAATGCTAGATTTTTTTAACTTTATTTTTATAGCTATTTAAAACTATTTTATATTTATCTGATCCTCAAGTTATTTTATGAGGGAGCACAGAGTTGCACTTATCCAACACGGTAATCACAACCCACATGTGGCTATTGAGTACATGAAATGTGGCTAGTGTGAATTCAGTTGTACCACTGGTGTCAAACACACACAAGATTCTGAAGACTTAGTATGGAAAAAAGAATATAAAATATTTCATTAACGGTTTATGTAATAATATTTTGGATATATTGGGATAAACTATAGTATTACGATTACATTCACCTGTTTCTTTACTTTTTCAGTGTGGCTACTACCCATCCAATTTATAGCGACCCTATAGGACAGAGTAGAACTGCCTCATAGGATTTCCAAGGAGCAACTGGTGGATTCAGGTTCAAACTGCTGACCTTTTGGTTAGCAGCCAGCCGAGCTCTTAACCACTGCTGCACCAGGGCTCCAGTATGGTTACTAGAAAATTTTAAATTACCTATGTGGCTGGCATTTGTGGCTTGCGTTATATTTTTTTGGACAGCACTTGTATGGGGTAGTGGTTCTCAAGTGGGAGTGATTTTGCCCTGAGGGGTATTTGGCAAACTCTGGAGACTTTTTTTTTTTGGAAACCCTGGTGTGTAGCGTTTAAGCGTTTGGCTGCTAACCAAAAGGTCAGTAGTTCGAATCCACCAGGCGCTCCTTGGAAACCCTATGGGGCAGTTCTACTCTGTCCTATAGGGTCACTGTGAGTCAGAAATCAACTCCACGGCAACGGGTTTGGTTTGGTGTTTTTTTTTTTTTTTTTTTTTTTGGAGACCTTTTCCTTGTCTCAGTTAGGGGAAGTGCTACTGTTATCTGGTGGGTAGAGGACAGGGATGCTACTAAACATCCTATAAGGCACAGAACAGGCCTGAAAACAAAGAGTTATCCAGCACCAAGATTCAGAAACCCTGGTATAGAGGAATAGTTAAAGAACGGACTTTGGAATCAGACGGTTCAGTTTGAATACCACTTATTAGCTGTGTGACTTTAGGCAATTTGATTCAAATTTCTCATCTATAAAATGGAATAACAGTACCTCCCTCACATGGTTGTGAGAATTAAATGAGTTAACATGTGTAAAGTATTAGAACAGTGGCTGGTGCATAATATGTGCTCAACGAGCGTTAGCTAGTATGAAATGAACAATTTTATTTTACTCATTGTCTCTATTTCATGAAACTGAATTTTAATTCACTTATTAACTGTTACATACAATACTCTATGACTTCACTGATCTTATTTATTAATTAACTCAATCTTTATTTTAAAACACTTAACATTTCCCTTAAGTTAGGAAAAAAATTATTTTCCATCTCGCACAGGTTGTACAAGTACAAATTAGTTCTTATAGCAGACTGGTTATGAAAACACATCAGAAATGGGGGAGGAACAATCCAGAAAAGGAGGGTGAGAATGGTTGCACAACTTGAAGAATGTAATCAACGTCACTGAATTGTACATGCAGAAATTTTTGAATTGGTGTAGGTTCTGCTGTGTATAGTTTCAAAAACAACAACACAAAAGTATAAAAAAAAATAAGAAATAAAGATAGGGAACTCCCATCAGGGACTCATCCTCAAGGAAGAGGTGTTGGCTTTAAATTGTAGATTGGTGAAGAAATACACAGCGTCTTAAGTTAAAACAAAATGTTGAAGGGAAAGGAGAAAAAAAAACAAAACACATCACGGAGGCTCAACCTTCTATTCTATACAATACAGTGTGTGTGCCAAGCTTCTCACCAAGGTTTGCCTTGAGTGGGAAGTCCCAGTGTTTCAGACCAGTGAGTGTGACCCCAAGGCTCTATAATACTCACAGATGGAAGCATGAGTCCCAGTCACTGTCATTGCTGACAGTTGGGATGCGGATGGGGCTGGCTCGCATCTTCTTCCTACCAAGAAGCACATGTGAGGCCGGCTGTGGCCAAAAAAAATTAGAAGCTCCTATTTTCCCTCTACTGGATGCTGTTAACATTAAACTGAAACCGCCCAAATATACAACCCATCCTAAATCCACAAACAGACTATACACATTCAGGTATGGAGACCCCTAGAGAGTAGAAATTAAAGAGGATTGCTAAATTTGAGTTAGGTTCCTTTCACCGAATTTCCATTCCACATTACTTCCCCCAAATCTGTGGCCTTTTCTTTTTCCCCTCTTAAAAATGAAACACATTTACATACAGCTCTTGAATCATCAAAACTATGGTCTCCTACTCAAATCAGATACTGTTTTTGCAGGTATGACAGCAAGATGGATCCAAGCAAAAGCAACCAGTTCTCAAGTACTAAATGAAGTATTATCAGTGTAGAGGTCAGTTCTTCTCCTTTTCCTGGGCCCGTTTCACTATTTAATAAAAGGCTCATGTGTCTATTTTGGTTCTGTTGTGGGCTGATGGGGGAAATGGGCGGAACTCATGGAGAAGAACGTGGTTTATCTCTTGTGAGATTCAACTCTCATGGCTATCCCTGTAGCTTAAATATCAAACCCAAGTCGAATGCAGTTATTTACTGATTAAAGCCCACCTAGCCGCTCCTCATTTTACCCTGCAGAACGTCATTCGTTCCCACCTGAGCCCTGAGTCGCCCTCTGACCCCGGCTCCAGAACATCCACATTCCGAAAATCAGAGAGGAGGAATCACTAATTTCTCTTTCTAATCTGAATTTTCAGAACTATGACCAGGTCAAAAGTGTCTGACCTCTCAAACTCCTGAACTGTTCCGTGAAGCTCCACATGGCCTTGAATTAGAGAACCAAACTTTGACCCCACTCTCAAATACAAATCCCTTCTTCCTTTTCTGCGGTTTCGCGGTACCGTCGTTAATCCCGACGCCACATCCTTCTAGTCACTAGCTATCCGAACTTCTCCCAGCTTCCTTCTGGTAGGCGGTGCTCCGTCACTGATGTTGTAACCCGAAAAGCTAGGTGAAGGCGCCTGCGAAGCTACCGTTCCGGTGCGTACCTGGCCAGGGCTGAGAAGCCACGCCCCGGAACTAGCCTTCCCGGCTCCCTCAGCTTCCTCGGGCGGCGTCAGACTCCAGGCTTTGGGAGACCTCAGGCGCCTTGCGGGAGCAAGACGCTCTGCGAGGTATGGCTTTCCTTTAGGCTGTCCAGGTTCGGCCTCAGGGACAATGGCTTTGCCAAGGGAACAGAACGCTGCTGGCCCATTCGGAAGTGGAGCGCGCTAGCCCGTAGTCATAGTGACGTGGGGCACTTCCGGCCCTGGGGACTGCGGGGCCGCTCCGGCCAATCGTAGCACACACAGCAGCAGCGGGTTTCCGGTCCCCGCGGGCGTGATGCACACGACTTGAGACTCTCCCGAAGGTTGCTTCCCTGCTTCTGATTCCTCCACTGTTGTTTTTCTCAAAGGGACTTTCCGAGATGAAGGCGTAGGTAGTGGAGATACATTCCGTCCAAGGAGCGCCATACTCCATGGACCTGCCTCTATAAACCTGCGACATGCGCGGGCTGTATTCAGCGACACCCTCTCCGCCTCTCCCCGTCCCTGCCCCCCCTCCCGCGCTCCCTTCCGTGCACCCCGTACCTCTACAGTTCCCCGAGTGTTCCTGCTTTTCGGACCCCAGAGGAAAGGCTCAGCTGTAACTAGTGATGGCAGTGGGGGCGCTTACTGTGTTACCTGTCTCGGTAAGATTTGAGCTGTGCGTAGGAGAGCAGAACACTAAGTAAGCATTAAGAAATGGATCAGTCGTTCTGCTAATGGTTTGCGTTCAGAGAATATTTTCGAGGAGGGACGCACATTTGGCGAATACCACATAGACGTAAATTATGCAGCCACATATTCCTTTAACATCCCCCCCTCGCCTTCTTCAGTGGCTTAAGATACATACAGTGCTGCTAACTCATATGTGACAGGTGTTGGGGAGGGATTGTGCCTTTAGTTGCAGGAATGACCAATACCCCCAAAGAACTGCACAGGCTCTGTCAGCCTTGTTCTTAAAGAGTGTTATGAACTTTAGGCCTTTGACAAGTTGAAGCTGATATGTCCCTCTCATTTTAAAAAGGACGCTGGTAGAGAGAGAAGGAAAATATTTACTAAGAACTTAAAAGGTGGTGTCTGTGTCTCTTCTTTCCAGTTCTAGGGTTGAAGTTTAATTGCCATTGATCCAAGACTGCCAAGACAGGCTCTCTGGAATTAGGTTGGAGGAGCTATTTAAATGAGTTTTAAGTATCCCTTAAGTAAGATGTGGATGGATTGTAAGCTCAAGGTTTAAGTCTACACTCAAGCTCTTGAGCCAGAATTTTAGAAGGATCTCACCCTTTTATGCTCTAAGACAACCCTCAGCATGGAACAATGGTGATAACAATGAACTTGGCTTCAAGACAGCCGGGCTCTAGTTTTGACTCTGTGTGGCCTGGAACAAGTCATAACCCAGGGTCCCCAGTATTCTTGCTTGTACAATAAATATATTTGTATCACTTGCTTTCTAAGACTTCCTTCCAATTCCAGGATTCTCTGAGGATAAGTTGTGAATTTTTGAGTCTATGAACAGTATTTAACATGCATGGGGAAAAGGGAAAAGCTGGTCTCCTTTGTGTAATGCTTAATTCTCTTACTCCTCAGTAAGTGGATCTTCATCGAATTGAAACATTTTAGTGCTGTTTCATTCTAAGAAATAGCTATGAGGTTGTTTCTAACTGTACTAAACGTAAGTTCTCTTTCCTAAACACTTTTGTCAAGCATTGTGAAGGAAAGTGCAGTACTAGAACAGACGCTGAATTCCCATTCGTAGAGCTGACACTTGATTCCACCTCCATTTAATTATTTCTGATGCTGATTAATTAGCATGTTGCCCTCATCTGTAAAATTAGAAATCAAATAAGAAAAACTTTAATCTTAGAGTTCTAAACCTCTGTTTTGTTTTGTTTTTTTTTTCTTTGCCATCTTAACCCTGTCCCCCAAATGCAAACCTTAATTGTAGCATGTGCAGCTTAGGTTAGTTCACTGTGCTAGTGATCTGTTTTGGTGGATAGTGCTTTTACAGTGTGTTCACTCACATTCCCTCTCTTGATCCGAAGGTGAACAGGCAAACATAGCTATTGCAGAAATGGCAAAGAGGAAGCATGTGTATAGGATACTTCTAGACTCATCCAACCCCAAATCAGATGTACTAATCTGCAAATTATTTCCATCCCAGGAACCGTGAAACTTAAGAACAAGGAATTAGGTGCCATCAAGCCAGTTCTGACTCGTATCGACCCTATGTACAACAGAATGAAACACTGCCCGGTCCTGCGCCATCCTCACAATCGTTGCTATGTTTGAGCCCATTGCTGAAAGTCCCTGTATCAATCCAGTTCATTGAGGGTCTTCCTCTTTTTCACTGTCCTCTACTTTACCAAGCAGGGTGTTCTCCAGAGACCAGTCCCTCCTGATAACATGTCCAAAGTACATAAGATGAAGTTTCACCATCGTTGTTTTCTAAGGAGCGTTCTGGCTATACTTCTTCCAAGACAGATTTGTTTGTTCTTCTGGCAGTCCATGGTATATTCAATATTCTTCACCAACACCATAATTCAAAGGTATATGTTCTTCTTTGGTCTTCCTTATTCATTGTCCAACTTTTGCATGTGTATGAGTCGATTGAAATAACATGGCTTGGGTCAGGCACACCTTAGTCCTCAAAGTGACATCTTTACTTTTAAAGAAAGTTTCTCGGGGACTGTGTAATTTAAAAAAAAACATATTTCATGGCACCCCAAGACAAGGTTAGCTGCCTTCTGAGCTCCCACACTGCCTGGTCCCCAGCCTCATCATGGCATTCACCACACTGTATTGACACTTGCTGATTTCTCACACTGTTGGTGCATCTGTCCATCTACCCACCCAAAAACTACTAAATACCTGCTATGTGCCAGATGCTGTTGTAAACGTTAGGGAAACAGCAGTGAGCAAATACAGACAATGATTTTGTTCTTGTGGCGCTTATATAAAAACTGAAAAACCAAACCCACTGCTGATGAGTCGATTCCAACTCATAGTGACCCAAAGGACAGAGTAGAACTGCCTCACAGGGTTTCCACCTCCACACGTCTGTCAGTTTGCCATACTGTGGGGGCTTGTGTGTTGCTCTGATGTTGGAAGCTATGCCACTGGTATTCACATACCAGCAGGGTCACCCACGGTGGACAGGTTTCAGCTGAGCTTGCAGACTAAGACAGGCTAGGGAGAAGGACCCAGTGATCTACTTCTGAAAAGAATTAGCCAGTGAAAACCTTATGAACACCAGTGGAACATTGTCTGATATAGTGCCAGAAGATGAGCCCCTCAGGTTGGAAGGCACTCAAAATGCAACTGAGGAAGAGCTGCCTCTTCAGAGTAGAGTCAACTTTAATGACATGGATGGAGTAAGGTTTTCGGGACCTTCCTTTGCTGATGTGGCAGGACTCAAAATGAGAAGAAACAGCTGCAAACATCCATTAATAATCAGAACATGGAATGTATGAAGTATGAATCTAGGAAAATTGGAAATTGTCAAAAATGAAATGGAATGCATAAACGTTGATATCCTAGGCATTAGTGAGCTGAAATGGACTGGTATTGGCCATTTTGAATCAGACAGTCATATGGCCTGCTATGCCAGGAATGACAAATTGAAGAGGAATGGTGTCACGTTCATTGTAAGACGACATTTCAAGATCTATCCTGAAGTACAGCACTGTCAGAATTAGGATAATATCTACACGCCTCCAAGGAAGACCAGTTAATACAACTGTTACTCAAATTTATGCACCAACCACTAAGGCCAAAGATGCAGAAATTGAAGATTGTTACCAACTTCTGCAGCCTGAAATTGGTCAAACATAATCGGGATACGTTAATAATTACTGGTGATTGGAATGCAAAAGTTGGAGACAAAGAAGGATTGGTAGTCGGAAAATATGGCCTTGGTGATAGAAACAATGCCGGAGATCGCATGATAGAATTTTGGAAGACCCAACGATGTCCTCATTGCAAATACCTTTTTTCACCAACATAAACGGTGACTATACACGTGAAACTCACCAGATGGAATACACAGGAATCAGATCAACTACATGTGTGGAAAGAGATGATACCTTAATATCACAAGTCAGAACAAGGCCATGGGCCCACTGTGGAACAGACCATCAATTGCTCATATGCGCATTCAAGTTGAAACTGAAGAAAATTAGAACAAGTCCACAAGGACCAAAGTAGGACTTTGAGCATATCCCACCTGTTTTAGAGACCATCTCAAGAACAGATTTGACGCATTGAACACCAGTGACTGAAGATCAGACGAGTTGTGGAATAACAGTGAGGACATCATACATGAAGAAAGCAAGAGGTCATTAAAAAGACAGGAAAGAAAGAAAAGACCAAAATGGTTGTCAGAAGAGACTCTGAAACTTGCTCTTGCATGTCGAGTAGCTAAACGAAATGAAAGGAATGATGAAGTAAAAGAGCTGAACAGAATATTTTAAAGGGCAGCTAGAGAAGATGAAGCAAAGTAGTATAATGACGTGCAAAGACCTGGAAGTAGAAAACTGAGAGGGAAGATCACGCTTGGCATTTCTCAAGCTGAAAGAAGTGAAGAAGAAATTTAAGCCTCCAGTTGCAATACTGAAGGATTCTGTGGGGAAAATATTAAATGATACAGGAAGCATCAAAAGAAGATGGAAGGAATACACAGAGTCACTATACCAAAAAGACTTGGTCAATGTTCAGCCATTTCAGGAGGTGGCATATGATCAGGAACCAATGGTACTGAAGGAAGAGGTCCAAGCTGCAGTGATGGCATTGGCAAAAGACCAAGGCTCCAGGAATTGACAATACCAATTGAGATGTTTCAGCAAACAGATTCAGTGCTGGAAGTGCTCACTTGTCTATGCCAAGAAATTTGGAAGACAGCTGCCTGGCCAACTGACTGGAAGAGATCCATAGTTATGCCTATTCCCAAGAAAGATGATCCAACCGAATGCAGAAATTATCAAACAATATTATTATCACATGCAAGTAAAATTTTGTTGAAGATCATTCAAAAGTGGCTGCAGCAGTATATCAACAGGGAACTGCCAGAAATTCAGGCCAGATTCAGAAGAGGAGGTGGAACTAGGGATATCATTGCTGATGTCAGATGGATCCTGTCTGAAAGCAGAGAATACCAAAAAGATGTTTACCTGTGTTTTATTGACTATGCAGAGGCATTAGGCTGTATGGATCATAACAAATTATGGATAATATTGCGAAGAATAGGAATTC